TACTTAAATCTGCTGCACACTGTTAGTAGCTTGCCTGAAAAGTTGTTTAGTAGCTGTTACTAAATGATAATAGTTACGATCAATGTTTTATTCTTTCAGTGTATATAAATATCGTAAAATATACAATTAATGTTTAGTTACTTCAAACTATGCGAATCATCTAATCAAATACGGTCATATTCTTTACTTAAATTCCAAGTACTTGATATTTCTGATGATAAAAGATCTGTAAAAACCTCCTAATTTTGTTTAATGAAAGATAACTTTCAGATAAATTTGCTTCATTTTTAAATAAATCTATCATTTTTTTTTTTTTTTTTAATAACACAACAATCAAGGGGCCAAATATGCGTAAAAGCGTGTATGCAAGTACATCTATATGAGAAAAATAATTTCCAGCTTTGCTGTGTATATTTGCGCTTCTCCCACCTCTCTAAGATTTGAGCTTAGCTCGTCCTCCGCTTACTATGTGATAAACGTCCTTAAGTCAAAAAATTACTGTAATTACAAAGCAAAAATTGTGAAACAAGAAAATGCCATAAAAATCAGTTATTGTATTTGTGCAGTACAAACAATTTTTTTCTAATTTTTGAAACTTTAAAAAAATGCGTAAAATTGTACAAACGATTACTTATTTATTTTAAAAGTAAAAAATTAATAGTAAGTTAAGAAATTGTCACTTTCGTACATATAAAAACTGCTGTGCTAAAATGTTAATTTCTAAGTTTCTGAAAAAAACGTTAAAATGAAAAAAAATAAATTCATTAAATAAATCATTTGTTTATCTGTGACATCCCATGTCGAATACTTAGTATCCATTACTTTGAGTCACAAAGATTCGTTGTTAAATTTGAAAAAACCAGTAGGCAGTCATGGGACTGCCGACAAAAGTAAAAACTTAAAACTATGAATTATATTTTTATTTAAGTTCTGAAATGAATTAGTAGCTATCGAAATTATTGACTGTTTTTTAAATAATTAATCTAAAATTATGGCATTTATATTATTATGTGGGTCGTGATAGTACAAATGATAACATGCATATCTTTTCATTACACATATTTTGAATAACGAATTATAAAGTTTGTTACAAGATATTACAAGTATTCCTTAAGTATCCAATTTGTAAATAATCGAATTGATTTTGCTGCAGGAACTCTAAATACTTACATAAAAGAAACTGTTACTTCAATTTTTCTTTTTATGAATAATTGAGTTTTCTGAGAAGGCTGTCAAATAATTTATAGAAAAATTGTTAGTCACTACTAATAAATTTGTTTAAGAAAGAGAGTAAGGTAAATAAACTTGCAATTAAATATTTAATTATACCTTTATAACTTAAAATAATTTTAGTGTAATGTAAGATAATATAAATTATAATTTAATTCAAAATAATGAGCAGTAGTCTCGTCATCACATTTGTCAGTGTTACAAAGACAAGAAAAAAATGCATTTATACATTGTTATACGGTTTACTCACTAGTCACCTATACATACCACAAATCGCCACGCACGTGTGCAACTACGCAGTTGAACTTGCATGGGTAATTGGCACTATTGGATATACACCATACACTTATATGGTAATACTATAACATGCACTGTATACAGTTTACAGTATACACATTGACACATGGCAAAAAGCTGTATACCAATGTAGTACCTAGTTACACTAGTTAAAAGTAATCTCGGTACTCGACTCGGTACTTCAAATGCTCACTTTGCTCACTGCGCAGCGGCTGCCATTAGACAAGGAGAGAGTACTGAGCTTTTGTCGGTAAGGTGGAGTGCGCCAGCATATGGTATGTGTAGTCATGCGGCCATACCCCGCCGCGCCACCAAGCTACTCTCTCTTTCTCTACCACCGGCCAATACAGAGCGGGCTCCCCCTCTTCTCCCGCCCCCCTTCTACCCATTAAATTCTCTCGCGCTTACACGTTACTCTCTGCAGAGATCGCCTTGCTTTTAAATGAGAGTGATCTGATGCGAAACCTAGAGTTTTTCCCCATCTAAAATCGTCCAACGAGCCTAAAAAAGTTTTCACTTCAAAAAGCCAAAACTCAGCGATTTCCGAACGCCGAGCGGTACACTTGTTCCTGTAATTAAGTGATATATAACTTACTACTTTTAAAACAACCTACCGTTTCAAAACTCGAACTACGCGTGTAACCTCCAACAATCTTATAAAGCGCTCATCTTACAACGTCAATTCTCAGTGGTATGTCCAAAAATGTGAATAATCAACAATTTCAACATCTTACAGCAACTTGTACTTAATGTCAAATCCAAAAGATCAACAGTTGTAACTATCAATTACTGTGTAATTATTGCACCACGACTGTAATCGTGTCAATCGAGAGTAATTAGGTTAACCTCTGATTAGTCGTTTGGATCCCCAACTTAACGCGTCCTCCTTAAGTGCAAGAGTATAAAAACTTCTTGCACATAACAATATTTACTCAGTTTTTTTCATTAAGTGCTCCAAAGTAACTGTAAAGGTTGAAGAAGGAGTTCTATTGCGTCTTTTAAACGGATGTAAAACTTAGTTCAGTGATTAAGCTACGTGCTAGAAGCATGCAGTTAAAGCAAATGTAAGGTTTAGTTTGGTGATTAAGCTGTGTGAAAAAAACTCGAGCATACCAGGCCACTGAAACTCGCCTAAAAAGTAAATCAAGGAGGAACAAGAAAGAAAGGACCGTTGACTTGGGTTCCAACGTCAAAAGCACCAGCCTAATGCTTATCATTGCCATGAGCACTCTCGTGTAGGATTAGAATCATCGTTGCGGTCAATCTTGGAAGATCTTACAACTGCATGCGCGCAAGCAGCGGCTAACCAACGTTCATAGAAGTAAGTCAAGTTAAGGAAACTATAAATTGTATAAACATTGTTGATGCGAATTTGAAATTCTATTATTTATACTATTTGTAAAATTAACTATTTCTGGCTTTTCTAAATGTATTAAATCATTAGATAAGACATAACTTGGTTCATGATTCTATTTTTTTTATCAATTTAAAAATATTCCAATTACTGTATTATATGAAATAGTCCAAGATTTTAAATTCTAATTGATAGAGACATCATTTTTACTTTGATGAATAAATTAAAAATCAAGGAAAATTCAAACAGACAACGTATGACAAAGACTTTTACAAGTACGTGAGATAAAAAGACGAATAAGATACGCCATTATTGCATTACATAAGATATAAATTCAAACAGTAGGTCAACGCCAGCTTGCGTATGACACACTTACACTACTGACCACATATAACTCGGCGAAACCTAACACCACAACGCCAACTTAGCCATTTAAATGAAAATTATATCGTAAGTAAGAACAAAAAAGGCCTTAGGTTTGACGACTGGTTCCTAATAAAAATTAAATTTATTTGTTTGTAGAACGAATCTACAAGTTCCGCCCTTCACTAATAAAAGTTCGGACGTATTAATGTCATTTTTAATTAGGCTAAAGTAAATTAGAAACAGAAAATTAAAATTTACACTCAGAATGAGTAATGATCTACACTATAACAAGAAGTTATCGAATTTCTATGATTGGGGCTGCTCATAACAAAGTGGATCAGGGACTTAGATCGTATGCTGAAGGCCAAGGGTTTAAATTTTTTTGGAAACTTTTCTTTTATTTATTTACTTATTTTTTTTTTTATTTAATTCGTTAAAAAAAAAAAATTATACTCATAAAATTTAAAATGTGTGGTGTGGTAATATTGTGTGGTGTACAGGGGACCAGAAGCACGTCAAGAGGGATGGAGTGACGGGTGGAGAATCAAGCAAAATCCACTTCCGTTACACATTTTCTCAAGATCACTAATCTGAAATCGTTTATTTACTTTCTAGTGCAGAGCGTCCCTATAGAAGTATAATTTAAAAAAAAAAGTGAAAGAAGCACGATTACTCACATACTAATTTATATCCTAAAAAAATTGCAAGATAAGTTAAAAAATACAATTTATACAAGATTAATTAACTTTCATATTGATTCCAGCGACAAATATTTTATAGTTCTCACTTCTACTAGAGGTCTCGAGACCCACAGGTTTTCTGACTATTGATTTAAGACTAAAACGATGACCATGCTAGTGCCGTGTCACTTATCAAAATAAAGACAAAGAGTGGGGTTTTGAGTGTGGTAGTTATTATACTTTTGATCCAGTTGTTGGGAGAATTAAATGATTTTGTGTTTTATATTTCAGAGATAATTTTCAAGATGATCATTCAATTTAGAAGGTTAGTTTTGTTTTGAATAAAAAGAGTACGTCTCTTTGTGTTATTTTAGACTTCCGTTAACAATATGATAACAGCATTTAATGACAGTGAAAAAAAGTATTTAGAACCATGTCATTTGGCAAATTTAAATATCTAGCTGCTGTTGGTCACAGAAGACTATAATGCTATTATATATTATACCAAAAAAAGTCTCTTCAGAAAAGTTAAATAAGAAAATTTTTCTTTTGTTGTAAGGTATACCATATTTTTCATGAAATATGCTTTTTGTATCCATGAAATGTGATCTTTATGGGATAGGGATCATTTTCTCAATTATTGACTACAGTACTAGTATATTACGCTACAAGAAAAGAAAGTACATCATTTCTTTAGGTGTGTAGTTGCCTCACGAGCTGAAAGTGTGAGAGGCAAGCACTCGGGAGTCGATGCTATACTTTTGTCTTGTGTAGTGTACATGGTTTTTCATCTATCTTCGTTGAAGTATGACATTTTTTCCACGATTTTAGGGTAAAGAGAGCAACATTAATTTCTAGGTGAAACTCGAATTCTTTGCCTACTAGAAAAGTATTTTTGCGTCATGTGTATGGAAGTCATCTCCCAAGCCATAGGCAAGAATTGAAAAAATGCAAATTGTGACAAAAAATTTTCTTATGAGCAGAAAAAATTATTTGTTCTAATTTAACTGCTAAACCAAATACAGATATTATACTGAGACTCTGGTAGGGGCAGTTGAGTATTAACCTACAAAATGATTGCATATTACATCACCAGGGCAACAAGTATAATCATAAGCCCCTGGAGGATGTGACTGTGTCATGTTTATGCCTGAGTTGCGTATATTATTTTTCTTACCAAGGTGCAAAGTGCAATTTCGCGCCCGTCAGCACATTTATAGCTCAGAATATCAATCTGAGTTCTAGGATAGAAAAATACTTTGTACCTAGAGGACCCAAGAAATACCTTTTTTGCCACGAGCCTAAGGTTATTTCAAATGCTCAAAGTGTTGCTCAAGGACGCGAAGTGGTAATTGCCCTTTGTGCCCATGGTTGAAGAAAGTATTTTAAATGTGTCATATTCACTAATACTAAGATTAGAAATATTATTTTTTTCATTCTTATTTGAAAGCCTCTAACACTTGACTTTATGATCATGTTTTAAGATTCATCGGGGCAGCCAGGTGTAGATTATCCCATATTAACATCGATTCCTGCTACGTCATTCAAATGTCAAGACCAAAAAAGTGGTTATTATGCTGATCAAGAGACGCATTGCCAGGTAAATAACACTAATTATATAGTTTAAAAAAACAAATGTCACATATTTTATTGTTTTTTTTAATTATACTAGAACATTTAAATAATCAAACGGTACATACAAGATCGTCCCCTTTTGCTATGTCAATTTCTACGAATCTAAAATATTTTAAATAGAAAATCTCTATAACTTTTAATTTTTTGTAATCAAATTAAAGTAAGTTTAGCTCAAACGTCTTACACAAGCATTTTGGCGTTTTGTGGTATCTAAAGTCAAGTTTTTTTATAGTAGGAGGTATAGAAAGCGCTATAAGGTAGTCTGACTTACGAACAGAAAAAAAAAGTTTCCACACTACTAATTATTATTTTACTTTAGGAAGATTTATGTATAAATTAAAATCTTTGGTAAAAAGAAGAAAAGCTTGAAGAGTTTGTCTATTTATTTACTATTCATCTCTTTTCAGAGTTTCTGGTAAACTATAAAAATGAGATTATAAGAACAGGCTGTTCACAAATTAGGTTAAACGTGAGCTCTTATCTATAGTCGTACTATCATTACTTCAACACAATTAGTCATTGGATCATTTATCGTACTGAAACTTTTAAGTATAGGCTTAAACTAATAATGTAATGTAACTAACAGTTATAATCTCATCTTTTCTACTTTTTTTCTTGTAAATATTAAAAACTCTGTTCTTATATAGGGTATCAGCAGAATAATTTTCACTTAAATTTACGGTAAATACATATCACTTACTTCTGTAACAAATAAAATATTATATTCTAACAGCAATACGTAACATTAAGTAAATAACTAGTGCATGCGAGTCTCTTTAACCTGTCTAAAGTAGAGACGTGTTAAAAATAATTTGTAGTTAATAAAAATTTATTTGAAATATTTTTCAAGGTAGACTGATCGAAAACAAATCCTGAGCTGTTTTACCATGCATAATGACAGCAAGTTTCTTAAATCGTAATAAGAAATTATCTTGCTACTCTAAGTACAAGTACATAATTTAGTTACCACGTGGTTGAGGAAGTCTCGTATTTAATTTCATATACAAAGGAACAAATCAACTAAAAAAGTAAACCGTATGAAAAGCACTTCTCCCTTAACTAACTTCTGTAAAGCACAATAAAGAATAGCATAAATTCAGTATGATGATTTTTAAGAATAGGATGTCATTATAGAAACTAAAGTAAAGAAAAAAAAATTTAGTTATTTTAAGTGAATGAATTTAAGATACCTGGCACATTAATTTTTTTTATAGGATACTAGGAGTGTAAGCTATATTAGAGTATTTGGGTGAAAGCTCTGTAAAATCTGAAGAGCACATGAAAGTAAACAGCGTTTTTCTTCATGATATGTTTTGTTGGTGAAAAAGGTGGAGACTAGTCATGGGGGGGCGGGGGGTGTTTAATACTGGAAAAATGCAAAAGTCAGTTTAACCTTCCGAATTTTCACTTTTTCATAAGTGTATTTATTATACCAGCTTTCGAACACTTTAAAGAAGTTCATTATTATTTCATTGGGCACTAAACTTGAAAAAAAATTTTTTTATTATTTTTTAGTTACATAATTTTTACCAAAGAATTTACAGCAACACTACAATAAAATAACTTGTAAATACTAAAAATATTTACCATATAAGCCGCGGAAAGTTTAAATTAATCATTTGGTTGTTTATAACAATTAAATAAAAAGAGTTTTTAATAAATTATACATTAATGTGAAAAGTGATAACTTGATACGTATCATAGCATATAGCTATGCGTCCATGCGCATTACGATGTGGCTTTTGAGGTTTTTTTTCGTTTAAAATAGATAGCTTCTGTCAGAACACTAACAGTGTTATGATTCTTTTTGCAAGATAAAGTTAATCAGTTCTAGAATATAGGAAAACTATAGGGAAAACAAAAAGTTTTTTTTTCAGGCTGGAAAATTTAAAGGAAACAGAATTATTAAAAATTCTGTATTCAACGATATAATTAAATATACAATGAATGAAATAGTACGTACTGTAATATATTTTTAATTATGTATCTTGTAAAGATAATTATTTTAATAAAACTTGATGATTCAAAGTCCGTAGTAGTGGACATAACTTCAATAAATACCGATTTATGCTTTTTTTATCGTAGTCTCATAGCAGATTGAAATAACGACTAGAAAATGTTGGTATAGGAACTGCAGCTGGAATCTAAATGAGCACTAACTACAATTAATAAGAGATAACAGTTGAAAGCCAAAATAAGCTCCAAAAATATCAAAGCATATAATTTTTGGGTTTCTGTGCCCAGCAGCATATGAGTTCGGAATAAACACTTTCGACAAAAAAAATGGTGTCATGCTTATTTTATTTCTTAGCATATACGGATTATGAGTTCTAGAGTATAAAAAAACTATACAAAAAATGAAAAAAATTTGTGTAAGGTTAAAAAACACAAGAAAAAAAGATTCACAAAGTTTTTTACGTATCGTTAGAATTAACAACAGAATAAATGAATAAGTAAGTGTCTTAGTGTATTTTCCAATATATATCTTTTAATTTTGATTACTGTGATGTTTCTTAATATTTTAAAGTCCATACTTGCAGACAGAACATCAATAAATACTGATTGATGCTTTTTTTGTCGTTGTCTCATAGCAGATTGAAATAACGACTAGACAGTATGGGTAGGAATTAAAGCTGAAATCTAAACAAATAACTACTACGATTAATAAAAGAAAACTGTTGAAAGCCAACACAAACTCCAAAAATATTGAAGTACTTAATTTTTGTATTTCTGTGCCCAGCACCATATGAATTCGTAACTATAACTTAAGATAAAAAAAGGTTTTATACTTATTTTATTTCTAAACATACGGATTATGAGTTCTAGAGTACAAAAAAACTATGCAAAAAATGTAAAAAAATTTTTGTTAGGTTAAAAAACACAAGAAAAAAAGATTTACAAAGTTTTTCACGTATCGTTAAAATTAACAACACAATAAATGAATAAGTGAGTGTCCTAGTGTATTTTCCAATATGTGTTTTTAATTATACTTATCGTGATGTTTTTTAACATTTTTAAATCCATACTTGCAGATGTAACATCAAAAAATAGTGACAATGACACAACAGTCGTCATTTAGAATGATATAAACTGATCATGAAACTAACAGAAACTACAGCACCGGAACATTACCACTAAAGAGACAATATAACATGAAACAATATCGAGACCTTAAAGTTTTTTGATTTCTGACCTAAAAATGAAGTAGCTTCATAAATAAAACTTTTGATACACAAAATAATATGGTTATTTTTCTCTTCTAAAAACACAGGTTGCCTGTCGTAAAATAATAAAAAAAATATAGAAATGATCTAAAGTAATCATTTTCTGGTTGAAAAGCTTGAAAAAATGAAAAATTATTTATAATTGTCAATTCGATGATAGAATTCATATCGGAATAAATAAATTCGTAAGCGCTTTAGTGTGTTTTTAAGTTTGTGTTTTTTTTTATAAGTACTTAAATAATACTGCACATTTTTGTTAATAATAATATGTTTACATTATACATCATAATCACAAAAAATCTTATTTGTGACGATATTGGTTTCAATAAAACTAACACAATCTATAGATACTAAACGTTAGCACAAAAAAGTAAGCATTACCTTTCAAGAAGAATTGAAATATCCTTTTTTTTTGTTTTGTGCCCTTAACAACATGTTAATTCGTAATCGTTTACTACAATTCTTCATCACTACTTGTTCTAGAAAAATACCAGTAGACTCTGTTGCATAATCATACTACTTTTTTTGCAAATACTGTTCTGTTTTATGGGTAACTTTTTTCTTTTTATGGTCACCTATCTTTTTATCATTTGTATTTATTAAGAACAGTTAAGTATCTAATAAATATATATACACACCTATTGAATAAATTAGTCAATCTATCTCTTCTGCTTTTTTGTCTTGAATGTCTTGTCATACGTAGTCTATGTTTGTGATGCCAACTTTTACTTGCATTTAATGACAGAAATATTAACAGAACAGTAAATTGTTAAGAGATTTGGCAGCCATGCGTAAGTCTTTTATGCATACTGGAACTCATTTTAGCCCAAGCATATAAAATATAATTCATCCAGCAAGTATCTAAGCACAGAATTTCGAATTTATGGTAGTCAGTCTGTTTGCCACATCGAATAACAGCTAATACTGTTGATTAATTACAAAGAAGTTTTTCATCAACACCTAGAACGATAAAGAACTACGTAAAATTGCTTTATTACAAAATTTTTTATGGTGATGAAGAGTCAGTGAAATGTTAGACTATAAATGGTATGAATTTATATTTAAGTATCAAAAGTATAGTTGATACTTATTCTTTAATAATTTTTTGACCTGCAAATGTGCTTAATTTTACAGTTTTTTCAGTTAGAAACGATTGGTGATGTGCTCGATTAAAACTGAGTATAGATTTGTAATTAGCAATAAACTAGCAAAAGCTTAGAAAATATCTGTCATTATCTAAGTTAATTTTAAAATAAAAGAGATAAGCATAACTTGATCTTTAAAACTGGCTGAACAAAAAATCAAGATCTTACGTAAGTAATAAAAATGTGTTGCCTATCGATATACAAGGTTATGTAAACACTCAATAAATGATTTATTAATCTATAATAACTTTTACGCTGACTTTGCGTTACATACAGGTAACTTACATAAGGTAAGCAAAGTGGTAGTTAGTGCTAAGTAAAAGTAATAAGTACTATTTTGAAGTCAGAAAGGAAGTAAATTAAGCTTATAATTCTAACGACTGAAAAAAATTTAAATCATGATTTTATTTATTACATCGGGCTGAACCATTTATAATTCGGATGTCAATTTTTTTTTAAAATACCTTAGCGTTATGGTTCCAACGTTAAGTAAGTTAGTCGTTATATTAATCTGTTACGAGGTCAATACGACCAAAAGCATAAAACGCAATTTTCAAAGATATGTCTGCAACATTAGTCTTAAAAATGTTGAGTGA